AGCACCTGTGATGCGAGCGCCAGGCGGTTCCTGGCTGAACTGATATCAGTTTATAGGAGATCTGTTCAACTAGGGGACAAAATTCTACCAAAATTTGCCTCAGGAAAATTTTTTGATCAGAATCTGGCTTGAATTTCGGACAGTGGGCACTATAAGGTAATAGCGCATGACACAACAATATTGAATACCGCTGTATGCAGGTTCTATTCTGATGACTGTAGTTTCACTAATGTTACATTAATTAGAAAACCTCAATTTTCTTGATGGTTTATACGTAAGGTGAAAAACAATTCTTTTTCGCTTATTGGGCTGGCCGTCAGTTCACCTGTTGGAGTTCCGTCGGCTCAGAAGCTTCGGTCTCTCTTCGGCGGATGATACAGTGTCAAGTATTTCATTTATTGACATTCCTTCAGGGTGAAACGAAAGGGAAAGAGATCGATCTCACCGCTCTACTCGCAATTAATCCGACTCTGAGAGGAAAGGATTCGTTATCGAAGACCTTAGTGCATGCTCATGAGGTAGCGTTGTTTCCCTTTAACTTTCAACATTTGCTTCTCTTTTCGAGCTGTTTTCGGGGTGATTTTTCCAAAGAGGATGCTATATTAGTGATTATTAAAGGAGAGCAACGATGAAAATGAGTTGTTATACGATATTCCCCGTGTTGCCAAAAGAGCAGCGGCTCCTACTCACCGTGCTCCTACTGAGACTACCTCATCTGCAACTGCTGTACGGTAAGCTTTTCATAAATGTTCTGTTTTGTACTGATTTGTATGGCGAATTCCTCTTTTCGAAAACGTGCTACGTAACGGTGATAGTGCGTGCATACCTCGCGTCATTTGAGCGCGTTTCAGTGTTTCGAGAGTTTTGAAAGTTCTAAGGGACTAGGAAACTGTAGTAATAGACCCAGCGTTTTGAGAGTCCGCTACTGTTTCGAGCTGCAGCGTTTCGAGCACTAATTTATTTGGAATTGACCTCTGTTTTTTAAACACCGGATTCTCTGGGAGTGCTTTGATGAGTGATTCTGTGTTCATACTTTGCGACACGGGTGAACCGGCTTTTTGGAGATAATCGGCATTTCGAGCGAAAAGGAAAACATAGGTATCGATCGGCGCACCCAAAATGCCGATGCGCCTTAAACTTCAATTTTTCACTTCTTCCAAAACGAGGACGACCTGGGCGAATTGATCTGTACTTTCTTTTTCGCTCAAAACGCCAACTCGCTCAAAGCGCCGATCCTCCCAAAACGCTAGATCAATGCTTACAGTTTCGTATTGCAAATTAGCACAAAATGCCGATTCTCCTTGAACGCTGTGGTTATTTCTCATGAATAGTTTTTGCCAAAAACCACCACAAGTGCAAGTATAAAATCGGCCAGTTTGGTGGTACCGCGTTCGTCGAACGGCTGCAAACAGGCAGGATAAAAGTAGGATAATTCGGCATATACTAGTCGTGTGGTTCGAACCAGTTCTTGTGCATACTCTCAAGAACGAATGATGTCATAATAGCATCCAATTTCAATGAGTACATGTTAGTTGGGCTTGCTAACTAAAAGAAAAGGGATTTCATCTCGGTTTTTATGGATTTTGAAGCAGTTTGGGCTAAGGGATCCACTGCAGCGCTGAGATATCACTGCAGCGCTTATTTCGAAACTTCTTTCGAGAACTGTGGAGAAGGAGTCACTACTGACTGGCGGAACGGATTGCTATTTTAACATCCGCCACTCAAACTGTTTTCGCAAATTTTATACACGATAATATTTCCATGAAATTTTAAGTTTTGGAATATACACTCTTGTTCGCTGTGAATGATGAGGGCAGGGCGTCAGAGGTTAGGGGTTCGACGCGGTCTCGTTCCCCACCTTTGTCAAAGTCGGTAAGCGACAGCGATTGGTGAGAAACAGTCTGGCACTGCGCCAAATCCAGCCCCTTGACACGCCCCCATGTGCAGCGAACAAGACCATAAATGGTGAAAATACGTTTTCAGCCATCTATGCTGATTTATTTAGCCGCTCTATGCTTATGGACCGCGCTGGTAGTGGTACTGACCTCACCATCATTGCTGAAGATACTCATACTCAGCCGTCCACTCACCGTGCTCCACCACGTGGTTTAATTGCACCACAGAAGGTGGTCTTACCCGGTAAGTTACGAATGTTCTCTTGTATGTAGGCAGTCTCTGACGCTTTAAAGTTGAAAAGGTTTTAATTTAGTTGCTCCAAAACGTACGAGTGCTGCAAGTGCTGCTACAACACCTGTTGAGCGTAATCCACAGCCTATCATGACGCGATCATCCGAAATGGAAGGTAAGTTGTGATATTTTATAATTCTATACGAAAATTGAGAAAACAGTAATTCCACAGGTTCCAGTTTTCCTTCTGTTGCACGGGTGTTTTAGTTAGTTAAATATCACCCGTATTAAGCACAGTATCCAGAGTCTAGATACTCGAAAAATATCTGGATTTTTATGCACAGCGAGTTTATTTTCGTTGGAAGTATTGGAATCGTATGAATCAGAGCCCAGCCTGGGGTCTCAAACTGGCCCGTTGCTAACGATTCTTGTGATGAATTCCGTAGCGTAAATTGCGGCACTAAATAGCACTTATGAAACGAGCTCTGAAACATTGAAAGTTCCTAGCCGCGCGATTCACTGCCAATATCCAAAGATACGGCTGACAAGCTTATCATGTCAGACGTGTGCATGTTTCAAGGCTATACATAAAACAAATACCATGAGGGGGTAAAATATGGCCCTGGTAGTGAAACGAATAGCGCATTCGCCCCGCTCAGTAGGCGTGAAGTACGCGTTGAAGCTCCGCCTGGGGTGAAATCTTTTGCCCATAACTCAGCGCTCTTGTGGTAATTGGAAACAATTTTTCTAAGGCATTGTTCACAGTCTGCGGTCCAGCGTTTCTCTGGAACGCAGCGGTTCGGCGAAAAGCTTTTGATACGTATCGACTGGCGGTTGGGCGAAGAGTCTGGCG